ATGATCTAAAGGGTATCAAAATTTACAAAAAAAAAAAAAAAAAACTTAATATTTATTTGTTTACTTTATTAAACATTTCTTTCAACGCGCGCATGCGTAAAGTCGAATTACACATAGTCGAAATTAGAAAATTGCAACCAAAAAACTATTTGATTTGTATTCGTAATATTTATAATGACGAGGAATTTGATTTAAATCATATCAAAGATGGAGTACATCGAGATGAAATACTACATTATAAGCCGAATAAAATAAAAACATCTGCCCTGAAGATAAGGATAGTGCTGACAGATCAACTTCCAGCTCATTGCGTGACGCGACTTCCCACCCCCCTTGCTGAGCAGCGTGAAATTGATAAACAGATTTCGGAATGGTTAGAGAAACAAAGGAGCCTTTATCCATTTTTTGCAACAATTCCACTTTTTGTTTGGTGGACATCAAAACATGCTTTCCCTTGTAATCCAGCATCGGAATTCCATTTGACATAATCGAAAGTTCCAACTTACTTTTATAAAATTGCTCTAACAGTCTGCAAAAAATAATAAGCCAGTTCCAATTCGAAGATTAAGGAACAACGCAATCTGCAACATTAACTGAAATAGATAATTAGATAATTTTAGCTTAGCTTATACCGTCCGTTATACATTAAATGCACATGCGTAAAAGTATTATGCACATGCATAAAGGTATTACGCGCATTACGTTGCTGCACGCGCAACGCATATGCGTTGATGCATGCACAGAAAGTTTGTAGCTTTGAGGTCCGGATTATGGGTGTCCAGATTAATGACTTTTGACTGTATTTGCCATTTCTTCAACTGTTTCAGGTTTTAAGTTTGTTATGTGTATGTGTATATTCACACACACAACAAACATATTAAAAAATCTGTAATACAGAATAGTTTACCATTAACTTCATATATGAGGCCAAAGGAGTGAAAACAGGTCTTAAATCAATAACTGTAAATGTATTGTGCAGATACTTTCAAATTTTATCACATAAACATTTGTGGCAATGGAAATTGTTCATGTTTTAAAAGCAGTTAAACAATGATTAACTTATGAATTTTCTCTGAAGACATTTGTCAGGTGATGATTTAACTTGCACATAAAGGTATTTTATTGCTGATTTTGTGTTAGTCATTGAATCAAGTCCAGATATGTAACTCATGAAACTCTAGAATACTGATCATTGGTAATGTGAATATTAGCTAATCCAAAAAGAAGAGAAGAATAAAAAAGATTTTGAGTAAGGATAATGGGGTATTGTTTCAGATAGGACAATATTTGTCTCCATATTCAAAAGTATTGGCTTAAATTTTGCTTCATTATATACAGGAACAGTTCTAAGCTGCTGCCAGAATAGCTATGTTCAACAAATTAGAATCTCGGAATTTTGATCTCATTAATATTAAAAAAAATAGTCATTTGTCATTAAAAATGGTTTAGATTCAGAGAATGTAAACCTTAAATAATGAACTACAATTTTAGAACTTTTGCTCTTTAGATTAAGGAGAATTGAAAGTAACAGAATGATTGTGGCTGAAGTTGTATAGCTGAAGCTGAAGTTGTATAGCCGAAGTTGTGATTTTTTAAGCTTCTGAAATCCATAATGTTTGCATCTTGTAATGTAGACATATGATCTTTCTCTCGGTTTCTTTTAGAAAAATTATTTGGAGAATACATAAATTTAATTCTTTTAAATTACTGAGATAAGTCAAGCAGGAGCTGAAGTAATCAGGCTAAAAGAAGATAGAAAGTAAAAATACTCAGTATTAATAAAACTGAGTGAATATGCTTTAATTTTCTGAATTGCTAATTTGAACCCATTGCTAAAAAGTTCATTTGATTATATGTGTGATGTAATAAATGTAATGTAGAACATCCTTGAACACTGATAGCATTTACAGACCATGAAACTTTATTTATTTTCATTACACAAAAATACGTGGGAAGATTTTGGGTCAGAAAATACCTCTGAATATACTATGGATAAAGATTTTAAAAGTAATGTAGTGATTAATTGGATAGCTTACCAAATCAATGAATCATTCTCTTCCTTTTAGCAGTTGCTCATCTCCAACTCCTGTTAACATGAATGTGTCAGGTTATAATCTAGTACCTAAAGGATTTAGTGTAAATACAAAATGTGAAAATGCCTCACTAAACTTTCAATTGTTAGCAAAAGACATAGCAAAGAAAAATATTAATGCAGTTGTTTCAAGAAATTAAACTCCCATCAAAAAGAAAGATAAGCACGGCTGCTATTTTTTCAAATATTGAGAAACCAAAAAGGTAGGCAACAGTGCAGAATAATGTTTTGAAGCATATATATATATATAGCTTTTCTAATGAAATTGTATGATAATATTTTATCTACATAATTATTTGAAATTGTGTTATATTTTTATTAAATGGTTAGTTTTCAAGGTTTGCTAAATGAACCATCCATGAAATATAAATAAACATGTTAAAATATTGACTTGAAATTAAATTCTCCATCATAGTTTAACACCAGTAAGTGTTCTGTCATGCAATTGTACATTTATTTCTTTGCTGTTAATAATTTTCCCATTAAATACTTTTATTTAATGGCTGATTATAACTGTGCACAATTTTGTAAAGGCTCACACTAATAATGTTAAGTTCTACTTTGACTGTCAAATATGATATTATTCATAATATTACTTCTGATTACATGCTGTTTTGAATTTATTCAGAACTCCAGTTAAAATTTTGAAAGATTTCCTATGCATTAAAGTTCCGCCCCCCCAAAAAAAAATTGTTTTATATTCCTCTATTCATCTCCTAAAATATCGCAAATCCTTTAGTAACATCTTCTGCAAACATCCTTGGTGCTATTAAGACTAAAATACACTGATGTTCAAGTAATGATTTAGTGTAATTGTAAATTGTCTAAATTTAATACTTGATATAAATAGCAGGAATTGTGTGCAGATTATCTATGCCAATTTAACCCCTTAACTGCTGCGGGCGTATATATACGCCTTGCTCAGCCGATGCGTTAACTGCCCCAGGCGTATATATACGTCCTTCCAAACTGCTATCATTTGCTTTGCGCTGCTACACCTAAAATTATTCGCAAAGTTAACGCATCGGCTGCGCATCTGGGGCAGTTAACGCATTGGCTGAGCAAGGCGTATATATACGCCCGCGGCAGTTAAGGGGTTAAAGAATCTCTATAGTCTTGCAAATTTTATCAGTTTGTAGTATATGTAAATGTAATATCTAATAAATTATCTTACCATCTATATGCTGATCAATATTTAAAGCATTTAAAAATTATAATTATATACAAGTTGAGTTCAAGTGTCTCCTAATAATTTTTGAAAAACATTAAGAAACTGACTTTAAGAAAACTTTAAGAAACAAACTTTAAGAAACTGAAACTGTGATCGCTTTTTTGCGTAGCTAACCTTTAAACAAACACATTTTTTATATTGTTGATGCTATATTTGCATAAGCTACAGTAAATGCTGCTTTGAGGTTCTGTTTTGTCTATTAGGAAACTATTTTGAAGCAGCAGCTTAATGAAAGCTTTAAATCTTAGTCATGAGGAATATCTTGCAATGTAGGAAAAAGCCAAAAATCATTAAGTGTGAAGTTCAAATGAATATGAAACTTAGACAATTATTTCAAAGTTGTTATAATGAAAAATTTTATAAACATGAGCTAATAGTGTGTACAAGCATTGTCTTGAATTACACCACAGGTGCAGCTTTTTCAGACGTGTATAATGGGGGAAGAAGGAATTCTGGTTCTGGAAGAAACTTTGTTTCTTCATAGTTGCAATCTTCACTCTGGTGTAAATGCTGTGATAACTGCTTGCTTCATTAATTTAAATCATGTTCATTAACTCATCTGATGTACTTTTGATGCTCCTTTGATTTGCTTTCGCTCAGTGTTCAGCCTTCTTTGAATCATCACACCCAGAAATTCACATTTTTCATGTCCAAGATACCATCACCACATATTTCATTCAAATGAGAATAATTGAGTAATAATAATAATAATAAGTAATGGTAATTTCTAGTAGAGAAAATGCAAAATGGTGTAATGTTGTTTAAATGTAAATGCACTATCTTTGATATCTGAAATGCTTTTGTTACAAGATAAAGTCCAAGTTTTCTGTGACTCTAATTACAAATGCCTATATTATGTCTTAAATCCTGTCTTAAAATCCTGCACTGTTCAGTAAAGCGGTTGGTGGAGCTAGATGACATATCGTCAGGGATGGCTTTGAATCTCATAGAAGGAATGAATGTTAGTAGTTAGTTATTCTCTCTCTCTGGCTAGTGTAATATTAGTTACTCCCTTTGGTGCACCCTGCATAACATTTGCTGTAAAGAGACAACTAAATGGTTGGACAATTCCCTCTGTTCGCTTTTAAACCTTAAGATTGGTTAGGCTTTTAACTTCTTGCATGTAAAGTTTGGCACCTTTTATGCAAGTAATTGTCTAAAGGAATCATTCTGTGAGTAAATTAGTAATGTAAATTCAGAATATGATGTTAACATGAATGGTAATCTTAAACTTCATATGTTTGTGCAATTCCCTTAATGTTCTCAAAATGTCATGAATAAATTTCTTGGTTATTATTAAAAAATGACTCTCCCACTTTGTACCTGATTACTTTTCTTCCAGTATACATCTACCCAAAAATTTGCCTACATTAAAAGCTGGCAGAAATTTTCATGTGTAATGAATAAGAAAGTTGGCCAGAATTTTGCATCCATATTGCTGAGATGGTTAAGGAATAACTTTGCTTCAAACACTTTTTTTTTTTTTGTTTGTTTGTTTCTATATTTTACTTGTTTTTAAAATATAATATTGAATATTTTTTATTTTCCAATATTGTGTATATTGTTAAAAATTGTTTATAATTTATGTAAATTTCAAGAATTATTCAATGCTGTAATGCTTAATTAGATTAGTAATTTTGCAGTTTTGTATTTTAAAATTTTCAAAAATTTTTTTAGTACCCTTAGAAGATGATGTGAACACCTCAGAAAATATATATTAGAGCTGATTGATGAAATTTAGAAAATGGGATCTTACTTTAAAATACTTTTATAGGTAAGTACTAATTTTTATAATTTTATTATTATTTTTATTTCTATGCATTTTTAGCCTAAATTTGATAAACCCATGGTTATCTTTAGTAATTTTCCCTCAAAAGATCTGTATCTCTTATATATTAATATATCAGTTATGAATTTTGAAATGATGCGACTATGATATTTTGCAATGCAGGTTTGTGTTTGAGAAACAGCAGTTGTGAAATGATGCATCATGTGGGTGGGAGAAAATATGCTTTATGTGATTTCCTTAGAAAATCTGTAAGAAAACTACCATTCCCATTTCTTATTTCAATAGGAACTGGGACTTTGGATTAAAGGGGCTGGGGAGTGGTGACAAATGATAATCAACTGCCCAGTTTTATCCTTTGTCTCATGGGAATTGTTAAATTTAGTTTGCAAAATCAAGATAATAAAGGACATGGTCATTTTGTTGTAGATTTTGTTGTAGATCCTGAAGGACTGACTATTTATTTCGTTTTGGAATTTTGCATTGAAAACTAAACGGTGAATCACTTTTCAAATTCTTGCCACCAAATATTATCACCCTGTATTATATTTAAATTAATTGAATAATAAAGAATCTGCATATATGTATCTATGCGTCGCACATTGTGATAAAACAACGGTACCTAGAGCCATCCAGTTTGAATAAACATGCATCTACCCCTTACGGGCTCTGGAAGCCCAAATTGGAATTTGTTTATTAACTTTCAATATTTGTAAAACTTTCAAGAATTTTTTTTAACAAACTCAAAATTTCAAAGCGAGTAATGGCAACTTCATGGGGGGGGGGACATTCTTTATCTCCTGCGCACAGATCTGTATCGGAAAATTCAAAGATATGCTCATTTAAAAAAATTATGTTTTATTTTATGCTTTGAAGTAATTTTGGTTTGGTATGTAGAACAGATATTTAATAAATAAATTTACCACACAAAAAACATTAAAAAATGCCCCTTTGGACGTAATTTAAAATCTGAAAACCTTTCAAAATTTGTTAATGCATTTTTTTTGGCCAGTAATTTTTTTAAATTTAAATTTTGGAAGAATGTTTAACAATTAAAATATTATTCTTCTCCCAAAGTTTTCAATGTTTTTTCCCAAATTTTCTTATTGTATTTATTATAGAATTCTTAATAACTTTAATGATTGATTTTGCAAATTAATGAATTAGTTTCTGAGAAAAAAAAGAGCATATTTTTATGTAAAAACTTTGAAAAAAATGTCTCATTCACATTTTCACTTCAAATAATTTTTTTTTTTTTTCAGTATTTTGTAAAACCCATCCTTGTTTCTATAAAGTATATAATTAAAATAAGTGGTAAAATATTAAATAATTTTAGGCCGTATTTATAAGTTATAGGACATTAAATAAAGGATTATTGAAAAAATGAAATGCTGAGAAAAAGCCTTTAAAAAAATGAACGACTAATTGCAAACATCATTTCACATTTTCTTAAAAAATGTTATTATGAATTTCAATACATATATAAAATAACCTAGTGCTATTCATTGGTTAATATAAACATAAATTACAAGCTTTTATTTAAATCTTCATAACAGGTTCAAAAACAATTTTTAATGAAACTAATTATATTTCTTAAATGTTTATAATCAGTATTAAAACATTTTATAATTAATGTAAATAATATTAATTTGTCATTTTATTCATTTTTTTCAAAAAGCAAAGTTTGAAATTTTAACAGCCAGAAAACATTTTTTAAAACCATTCAGCAATATATGTGATTTCTTTTTTTCTTTTAACCATTTCCTCTTGTATATAAATTGCATTTTAAATTAATTTAAGTGTATTTTAGTTAATTAAAGAGTTAAACTCTGATGGCATTCGATAGCAATAGTAAACAATGCCAAAAAAGTTGTGAGCAGACATTAGAAATCCGATCTGCGTTTGTGACATCATTCATTGTTCGCAGTGGCTTACGGGTTGAGGGGTGGAAGACGATGTGCATTTGAACCGGTCCTGAAGGGGAAACTGCTTTATATCCTTATTTCTCCCTAATATAAATGGTGGCTGCGCAAAAAAGTGTTGCATGTGAACGGGCTTTACTTGACTGAGAATAAAATTAATCAATCTCTTCCTGACATGATACACATTGAAATACAGATAGAAAAATAGTGCTCAATTTAATTTCTATCACAGCTTTGCTATTTGATTATCATCATTTATTTAGAGAGTCACATTTTAAGAATGCTGAAGACTTGTAGCCATTTCATGATACCAAATTCTCGTTTTCATCGTCTTTCTCTTCAGTACCTTTTGCTAGACCAAGCATACTGAAAACAATTTAGTTAGTTGATTCTGAAACAAAGTAATCAAAACTAAGCATTGTATCAAGAAAAAATATGTTATAATATATATCTATCTTTTACCTTTCCAAAATGCATGAACTGAGCTATAATGGCTTCAAGCTTCTAATCACTCTGTATGATAAATAAGAAGTTGCGTTTGTGGGCAGTGAGCAATCATAAGTTTTTTTCACATCTATATATGCAGTGCAATGCACGATCAAGGTGTTTTGATTTTTTTAAAGGCTTCCCCACATTCTCTGTTTTTTTTTTGGGGGGGGGTGAGGGTGGATTCTGACTTAGCTTTAATAAAATTTTGGTATTATTTCAATTATTATTGTTCTTTAAAGGGAGTAAAACAAAACAAAAGTTGTTGAGCTATTTGAAATTAAATGTAATAATTAATTTTGGGCAGACTATTAGGCTTTTCGATGCAGGGAAGGTGAAAATCAACTGCTAGCTGAATGTGTTATATAATCGCACTTAACTATTGCTCTTATTTTTATAAAATATTATATCAGTTTTTGCTAGATTTAAAACACCGCTTTTTATTTTCAAAAAGGTTAGCATCTTCAGCTAATAAAATGTGGAAAGAAGCTTATCTAACAGTCCTTTCATATGTGCAACAGAAAATGCTTCAGAAGTATGGCTCTATGCTGAATGCTAATAGTGACTTTTCTAGCTGATATTTTATTATGTAAATAATGTAAAGTGTACAAAACCTATAGTCTGTTTAACTGCATTTTTACTTTTGTGTACCATATAAATATATAATGAAAAGTAAAGATTTTATTAACATTTAAGCAGTCTCTCATGTTAAAATATATACACAAATTAGCCAATAATGTCATTTATTTCCAGATATGTTTTTAATGAAATATATACACAGTACTTCCAATGTGAGCATGTTTTAATATCCAAGAAGCTTTTAATAACATCAAAGATAAACATCTTCATTTAAATACATATAGCATAGTATAATTACAAGAATATATATATGTTACAGATGCCTTGTCATCAAAAAATTAGTTTTTTTGTTTTTTTGTTTTTTTTTTTTTTTGTTTTACAATATATTCGTGATTCCAACTTTTTCATACAAGTTTATCATCACATATGTTGTCAGTTCATATTGCTAAAACGTTTTACACTATCAATGAATTGTCAAATAAAATATTTTATAAATATTATATGGTTTTTCAGTTAAAATGATGTTAATGTTTGAAAAATATTCCAATAATTATTACTAATATTTATAATGATGTATATAATTATACTCTTTAAATATATAGGTGTTATATGCATACTATATTTACATATGTATTTTACTCTACATTCAGAATCACTGACTTCCAGTTACAAATACTTTTTATCACCTTTAGTTTCTAGCCACCATTATTATATACATAGTAACAAGAAAATATCATCATTTGCAGCTCAAGTATGCAAATTAATATTTTCATTTAAATATACATATAGTACATGTACAATGGTTCCTTTTAATAGTTTGCTTCTTACATTTGTAATGCTTTTAATAGGTTAAATAGTACATAATTTTTTATCACTTTGTTTTTATGTTACATTAAATGAATTCAAGCATATTATTTATTATGAGCACATAAGGCAGAAAAAATCTTAGGAATGGTTATGGAATAATAGATAATTAATGTCAGAAAAGCATTATTTATTTGAACTTTAAAATCAGGCTTTATTTATAATAGAGTTGAATTAAGAAAAAAGGTTAATTATCTATTTTAAGGAAATTTGACAGAAGTTTCCCTTTTTAAAGAAGAGTGAAACTTTTCCTTACTGATTGTATGCCATGAATACAAAAAAGAAAAATATTACTTATTCATAAATGTAAAAGAATAAGATAGATCTTAATTTTACATATGTCCTTCCAAACATATTTAAACAAGCCTTTTCTATAGGTTTATTTTCCTGTAATTATGATTATCTACATATTTTTATGTTAACAATGAAATTAGGAGAACTAGATCAAGATTTACGTATCCATATTCACCAATAATACAGCCTTGTTTTTTAATCAAAGCCAATTTATATATATTGTCATTATTATACAAACAAAGCAGGCATATAGGTTTGCTTTGAAAATTTAACTTTTATACGTGGAAGTTGAAATTGTTTGATTTTTTAATTTTTAGAATAGTTATATTTAGGAAAAGAGAATTAAATAGATACTAAACTTTCCTGTCCAATGTAATATTTGAAATATAGTAAGGAAGAAAATTTTAATAAAAAATAATTTACTCATTAAATGTAACTAATTTTAGAAAACCTAAAATCAGCATCTCACTTTATCGTAATGTTAGAAATATGAAGTAGAATAAAATACTGAGAATTTTGTTATTCAAACAGGTTTTATATATATATATATATACATAAAATTTAAGATAAGAAAATCACTACTCACAAGGACATTATTAGTAAAAAGCATCTTAATGCATATTACTTTATGGATCATTTAAAACATATAAGATCTTTGAGAACAATCACTGGTGATAATGCTAGTGTATAAATATTTTGCACTCAAAATTGTTCAGCATCTCTAAATTGCAAAGGAAAAAATTCTCATGTAATATATTTTTACTTGTATGTGCCTCTATTAAATAATACTTTTAATATACAATACTGTGAGTAGAAAAATGCCATAACAACAGAAAAGTAAAGAGCAAATCTGATACTTTGCAGATATCCATTTTTTGAGAAAGAGAGGATGGGGACCATTTGATGTTTGCCACTGGGTCACATTTTTGTTTAATGGCATCTGATGAATCTTGCACTGTTTGTAAAGAATTTTTAAAATGTATATGCTAAAATTATTCAATTTCATTAAAAAAACCTATTTAAGCAGTTTACCGATTTTATGGTTTGTTGAGATTTAATCATAGAAATCATTAAAAAATAAATTTTGAATCATTAAAACAATGTCTTAGTTGAAATTTAATAGAATTGTAAGTAGATATGGAAACAAAAAATGATAATTTTAAGTCTACTGCTTTTCTTGAACCACAGTCAAGACTACCATTAATTTTTAGAAATCAAAAGGTGTTTATAGTAGTACTACTGAATATTAACTACTTTGTACAAAAACTCAGTTTTTTTGCAAAAATTAATTTTTAAGATATTTAATACTCTTAATAAATCAAAAAATTCTATTTAAAAATATATTTTGCAATTCGTCTCGAATGCTTCAAAGTGTTACTAATTTACTGCTAGTTTACCAAATACGTACTTTATATTTTCATTTTTGTGTCAAATTCATTAAAATTTTCCAGTGAAGTAACTGCACTCTTCATCATAACTGATATTTTCAATTTTCTAGTAAAATATATTTCATAAATTATTAATATATTATTTACTTGATAGACTGTTTATTGAACACCAATAAAATCAATACATTTTGAATGTTTATTTTAAAAATAATTATAGAATTTTAAAAGTATATAATCACAGCGAGCACATGCAAAAATTTTATATATTACTATGTGTACAAAGTACAAAACTTATTAAAATACTTTGAATTGAATATTCTTTTTTTTTTATGAAAGTTTCCTGAAAAAAGACCTTTCAGTTCTTCTTGTAACTTTTATAGAGGGCATGCAAGCAAAATAAGTATGCTTAAAATTATTTTTCATGCCATAAGCAGAAGCATCACAGGGTCTAACAACTGATACATTTTATAACTACAAATTATGCTATTTTGATCATGATGAAAAATCGTAACTGAAGATCATGAAATTATCTAACATTTTATTCAAATGATATTTTTAGAAATTTTACACCTATTTTAGAACTGTTAAATTTATTAATTTAAGAGATTTAATGTAAATAGCATTAATTCATTCTTACAGAATGTTTAATCTCAAAAACCTGAACTGTGTTCATTTGAAAAAACTTTAATCTGTAAATGCATACAAAAAATCTGAAACACTATTAAGATCCCTGCAAGATTAGGACTATGTTAAAACTTGAATGATGTTTCTCAAATTATACTACTTTAATCTCAGAAAAGCATATAAACAAAAAGCTGGCTTCAATTAATTACTACAAAAACTTTTAACAAATCTGAATAATTACATTGATCACTGAAGACAATAAAAAAAGCTTACCTATGAAAACATGTTTCAAATAAAATGCCACATCTAAATTTTTATCAATAAGCTTAACAATTTGGCCAAATTTGCATGAGATAATTAAGAACATTACCAGTTGGATGCTATTGTGTATATAAAGTGAATGCAGTCCAGATTATGAGAAACAGTGTATATAGTTTTTAAAAATTACTGGAATTTAAATTACTCTCATTGTGAATAAATTTTGAATATGCAAAAAATAAGCAAATCAAAAGAGGAAATACTGGTTTGCTGCAACAGAATGCATTGTTTCACAAGCAAAATATCCTTTACAACCATTTTTTACGAGAAGATAAGTGATCCAAATAAAAAAAAACAAAAAAAAAAAAAAAAAAAAAAAAAAAAAAAATGAAGAATAAAAACAGTGTCAAAAATCTCTTGACAAAATAAATTTCAAATAATATTTCCATCCTTTCATTTGAAATCAATAGAACTTAATTAATTTGTTTGTGGAGAAAGGAAGATGTATATAATTTTTAAGTAATCAACTGAATTATTAAGAAATCTCCTAAGCCAAGCAAAGTCTTAATAAGCAAGCTAAAATTTAATATTTAATTAAATAGTAGTAGGTAATGCTAATGTTCAATAGGTATGAGATTATTTTTAAAATAATAATGTAAAAAAAAAGGCCTTGTTTATATAATTTTTCAGTGGACCAATTTCAGTATAATCATGTAAATTTTAACTACACTAATATGCTTTAAGTAGCTTATACACAATAATTATTGCACATTAAAAATATTTATAAACTACTTTAGGAACCTGAATAGCTTTGTTTTATAATGTAATACAATATCAGACTCCAAATTAAACGGATTAATTTTTAATACAGGATGGCCATAAATTAAATTTTCCTACCGAAGGCATTCTGAAGTGTTATGTATGCAAATCACACTAAACTTCAACTATATACTAATCAAGGCACAGGGAAAAGATATTAATTCCAGAAGTTATCAAGAGGGCATTGTGTGAAAAGAAACTGCCCAGAAGGTAATGACAGAGCAGAAAAATTTGATCCATAAAAAAGTGTTTTGGCACCTTGAATTATCTATTGATGGTGTCAATGCTGTGCCCATTTTCGCACATAAAACATTCTCTTTGGTATATACTGTATTTTAACAACAGAATGTAATATGTCTTAAGACTCGGATAATTTTCATGCAAAAGATTGCATTTCTCAATACAGCATTATCAACACATTTCACTTAAATTTGTTTGGTTTGTCATCTCACCAGAAATTAATTTGTATGACTTTTATTTATATTGAAAGCCACCCTTAAAACATTTTTTTTTTTTTTTCATTAAAAACAAGCTTTTTCTGTGAATTCTAAGGATATTACTTTTTGCGCCTCCTCATACACTACTAGGATAAAAAAGTATTAGAAATGACTCATTTAAAATTATGCTCATACTAGAAATCACAAAAGTTTTTCAGAAGCATGCAAAGAATATGCACAAAATTTTATTTCTTTAATAGACTTTCTGCTGTAAAAAATGTTTAAAATATTTCTAAAAATCTGACATTAAAAAAAAAAGTGGTATATTTAAGAAAATGTATTGAAAATGAACAATGCCCAGATAGAAATGTTTTTCTGCTAATTAACAACATATCGATAAGTCAAGAGATTTAGTACTTAGCAAGGCATGTTTAATTATTAAGCATATTATTGAGCAAGTTCTTACTGCATTTATATCCTGTCAAATAATTTTGAAACTACCCTTGCACTCTTTTCCAATTGTCTAAAAATGCATTCAAAAAACCTAGTAGATTATTGGAGAATTCAAACAAGAAGAATCAGTGTTATATTTGTCAATTTTGCAGGATTAGTTTCAATGGTTTAACTTCAGAGCCATCTTCCTCAGCTGCCAAAGTTCATATGAAAGAGATAAGGTAATTATTTGGCGTGTCATTTTAACGTAAAGCCTAGTAGATGTTTTGTCAAAGTTTATTCTTTAAAAACATTATTACTGGTGAAGAAAAGTTGATCTGCCTTTTTAATACAGAAAGAGCTCAGCAACCAAGTGAATGTCACATCATAAGGAAAAAGATTAAAAAAGACAATGTAAAGCAATCAAAAGTCAATATTGCCTGCAATGGTTTCATTCAATGTGCATCATTAATTTCTACTAACTAGTCACATTATTAACAGAAAGCATTATTTAAATACTTGGCAGCATTTACTTGAAACAGTTTGTTAAAAATGACTTAAATTGTGGCAAGATACTCATGAACATATCATGATAATGCATGTCCTTTCTCAGTGCTATCTTTATGAATATTTGGCTAAACAATTCAATAAATAGGTCTCCACAAGCTCTTAAGTTCACCCAATATAATACTATGATTTTTTTTCCCCGCTTAAGGTCACCCTTTTGAATCAATTGATGCAATGGAAAAGTTCACTGTCATTCCTAAATGTATTGCATAAAAGCTTTCAAACCTGTTTTGTGGAGTGGAAAAAACATCAGCATAAATATATTATAGTTGGAGAAGAATTACTTTTAATGTGATGTAATAAATTTCGACCAATAAATGGAAAATCAATGTGTTTAATTTAATGGAATCATTCCCATTACTTTCTGATCATAATAGTATTCTCCTATCAATGATTTTTGGAATTATCATCATCTTCTGCATAAATTATCTCACTTTGGCATACAGTTCAAATATGGAAAAAATTCTGTTTCTGGGATAAAGCTACAAAATACTTTCAGTAGGGAAACCTTAAGGCCATGCTGTATACTTTGTTATAATTCTGGATTTTGATTAAAATATAGTGTAAAAAACATTAAATACTTTGTCAAAATGTAGCATTTCATATACACTTAATACCAGTCTAAATGTAGAGGCTCACTAAACCAGTCTGCTGGTTTGATATTATGAGCTGTAGTTATTAATCTAAATTTTCTGATACAAGATATTTATATATGTATAAAAATCACAGTTTAAAAACAATACCTATGAAATAGGTCATAGTAACAAGTATGTAATTTTAAATTCCCTGAATACCTACTAATTTTAAAACACTTAAAGCATACCCACACTATTATATTTTATTTCAATGCAGAATAACTGTACAAACATATGCAAATTCTTCATTTTTAAACATTCAAATCAAAATGCTTTCACAAGAGTATCAGTTCACCACAATAATTTATGATTTCTAACCAAATCCTTTAAAAAAATTATACTTTGACTAATTTAAAAAAAAAAAAGTTAGTACACTGCTTAGTAAAACAGAGCAAGCATGCAAGGAATTTAAAAATACCCTTTTTTTGCTCAATATGTTAAACATTTACTATTTTATACCACAGTCATCTGACCAAACTATTCCTTAAATATTAAATACTCCAAAATTTGGCTTAGCATTATTCACAGCAATAACAACTATTGGCAACCAACACCATGCTTTCTGGTACACTCTGACACCTCTCTTTCCATTACACCAAATGACATTTTAAAAAATAAATAAAAATTAAGGACCACACTGCTGATGGTCACCAATGTATAACAGTAAATATATATAGTGTTTTCCATCAAATTCAATCACAAATCTCAGTTCTTTTATTAAGTATCCTGAAGTTGTGAATAAAGTTGTCTAAATTGATAAAATTATTCATCAGTATTTTAGCAGAGTTAATTTTTAAGCCAAATTTTTCAACACTTTGTTTTTTATTAGTTAATTTTTAAGCCAAATTTTCTTTGTTTTTTATTATATCTATCTCTATTTTTAACATATACATAAATAAAATCTTAGCACCTCAACTACTAATTTCATTAAGTGAAACAATCTGTTAGTTTGCTGAACTACAACTCTTTCAGAAAGTATTCTTCATGAATAGAAATAATTTTTATTTTTTAAACTTTTTTTATTATTCTTATTTTGGTAGGTTTTTGCATTGTATTTTCTTTAACAGAGTCATAGATAAAAATACAAACGAAACAAAGTTTCAACTTTATTTTTTTTTTTCCAAACAAAGAAGCAAAGCTGCTTCTAATTGACAACAGACTTTCAGGTAAAAAGATAACACAAAACATAAAAAATATTTTTACAGAATATATGAAGAAATCAGTTTATCATTTACATTAGCATTGAAGAATATTACACATACTTTCACAGGGATGTTGCACGTAATTCAAAGATTACACTGAACTTGAGATCTTTTGAATACACATATTTTAAAAATACACTTTTAAATTTATGATAATTTATATGGATTTTATATTACAAATGTCCATATTTTAGTCATGCTTAAAAAATAAATGACAATGGTACAAATAGTTCATTGTTAATTTGCCCACCAGCATAAAAATTTAAATGTTACATTATAATGTAAACAATCAAATAAAGTGACTAGTTTCACATGCTACATGAATTTTTAAATTTTGTAACAAACATTTATTTTAAATGTTTATTGTTTTAAAAAGAATAAAGTATACAATTCTGAACAATATAAAAAAGAAATTTCATAATAGTTATTTTACATTTATATATTACAAAGCTTTTTTTAACGATCATAAAGTACCTTCAGTCTCAGTAAATGTTTATATTTTTACACAAAGTTAACAATTATGCAACAATTTAGTATTTTGATTTCCTGTTCTATTCTGTAAATGTACAGAAACATTTCCTTTTAAAGTAATATAATTGCTGCTTTCAAATTAAATATTTTTTTCCTTTGCATCACTTAAAAATCAACTTTTTAAGTAAAAAAGCAAAATTAAAAAAAATTACATAAATAATTTCAAGACACTTAAAATTTAAAAGCTCCTAAAGCCCTTGCTTTAAATTTCAGCATATTTCCCAAATATACAGTGACTTTGCAACTTCTATACTTTAGCACATTTACTTACCCAGTCTTGCCAAAATTACATATAAACATGGCAACATGAAGTTAAACTTTCTTGGCAAATGAATAAAATAATGCTTTTTGTATCTTTGTCAAAGAGCAAAATTTCAGTACCTTTTATATCGGTTTATCAACCATACTTTACATAGGTTATCAGGCAGGGTCATGCCTGCCCCCACATACACCACACCGAACTCCACACCTATGACAGGCACGGAAGGGTAGGTAGCACCAAAGACACGGCACAAAAATTGAGAGTAGGGTTAGAGCCGTCCATCTTTTAGGACAATGTCCATCTGAAGTGTCGCAGGAGCAAGGATGTTGGTTGAAATCCCCTTCACTGTCTGACATGCAATGGTACAACATACACTGAGCACAGGAAATACATGAAGCTCCACTGATACAAGCTAACACAGGATCTGGAGCATATTCACAGCTACCACGATGATTGTCCTCCTCTGAATACATCTCCAGGCAATGGCGACACTGTGCCCTTGCCATGGTCAGATTTTTACGACCATCTTTTCTCCAGTCTTTCTTTTTCTTGGCTTTTATGGGAAGTCTTGGAGCTGGCTGGCAGCTAAATGAATCAAACTGTGATTTCTTCAAGCTACCAAGAGTATCCCTGTTCGCTGACTTATAACTATCCATAATGGGATATGAATAATCATGCTCAGTTCTAGAACTCTTGTCTCTTGATAGCTGCACATAAGAATTTAGATCTCCACTCATTTCAATTTTATCATTATCTAAATATTCTTTTCTAGAATCCCTAGATGCTAGAGATATATCTTTTGTCCATGCATCTTCATTCCTTATCCGTTGGGTAGGATCTGCTACATATCCCCCAATATTGTTATTCCCTGAAGGGTTAATTCCAGCAGGATAACGTGGAGATCTGATGAAGTTCATGCGATGAAGATGATGATGGTTAGCATGAGGATGAGTAAATGGTGATGTAGAAGAGCCTACATCAGGATATTGTAATGGTGTACCAGATCCAGGTCTAAATGAGCCACCACTGAAAGAACTAGATCCAGAGGAAGATCTGGAATCTATTGGAAGCTCCAATGCCTATTAAAAAAGGGAAAATATTTTTGACTTTCAAATAAATTAAGGAACATTTTTATACACTAGTAAAATTTGAACTATATATTGGTGTTCATTAACCATATAAAATTTCAGCCATATTATTAACTTACCATGAATACATCATCATCACCAAGATCTGAATCATGGAAATTTGGAAAATCCCCATTTCCTACAAAATAAGCAAGCAATATTAAAACTCAGAGTAAAAAGCAATTAAAAGTTTCTAAAATAAACTGCAATATATGTAATCTTAAATTTTATAAAAACCATTTTAATGATATCATGAAACAATCCTATTAATGACAAAAATCTCAACATATAACTCATAGAAAACAAGAGACAAACAGTAAGAGTGACAATTAAAATATCTGTTAATAATTTTTTCCCCAAATATATGTAAACATTTTTAACTGAAATATTTTATTACTTAATTATACTTTAAATTAATCCAAACTAACACAGTGCTCAATAACTTTATCACCAGCTCTCCCAAAACCAAAGAGGTTTATCAGTCTGGATACAAAGATTTTTAGACCCATTTCTCCAACATTATCTTTCCTATTTACACTTTCTTGTGTGTGTGTGTGTGTGTGTGTGTGTGTTGATGGATGAGTATACTATATACTTTTTTATGCATATTTTGTTCAATATTTTGAAAACTACATATATTGTTCAAAATTAAAAAATATGTATTTTCTTTAATATCTAATATTTCTCTGTAATGTTCATTTTAGAGACAAATAACTACATATGCAGTATGAAACTTCAGATTTTTGCAGATATAAAAAATTAGGAAGTTTTTAAAAATGACTAGCACTAAGCAAACAACCAGTAAAAATATATGCCTAAACAAAAAATAAATAAATAAAATAAAAATAAAAAATTTGATCAAAAATTTGATGGCTTGATATGTATTGGAAGCTTACTAGAATTAAAAACATGTAATTTTACTTACTACCTGAAATAAAGGACGATTAAAAAGAAAAATTATGTGGAAATGCTACTAAAAAAAAGCTCACTGCAGCAAAAGAATAGCATAAAGAATAGCTAATAATAATGATTGAACAACCTATTTGTATTACTTGCATAGAATCTAATAAGTGTGAACTAAGAAAGCTGACTTCAAAATGATGAATCTATACACCATCATATAAACCAGCAAAACATATTTTCTAACATTAATCTGCTGTCTTGCATTAATAACAATAACATTTAAAATGGTGAAAATAGCAAATCTGAATTGCATTACTATTCCATTTTATATATAAGGACCGACTTGATTGGAATGTAGTATTTCAATATTTTTTAAAAGAAATACACTATTTACATCTTAAAATGCAACTTGATCCCCATGTGAGAATAATGAGAATTATTGAGTTGGAGCATAAGGCGCCAAAGGAAAGCCAAGCTTCAAGAAGAAGAATGAGAATTTTTGCCATAAACATACAATAATTAGACAGATAAAAGAAGCAAAATGAGGAGGGAGGATATTAATCAGTGAATTTTTATATAGAAAGCTATTTTAGTAATTACATTATTTTTAATGCTGCTTACATAGTCAAAATTAATCCATCAGGCTCCACATTTTTTTTAACATAATATTTTATCGATGCTACTGTTCTATGCCAAAGTTCAATTTGATTATCATTATCATGCAATGGCTCTAACTAATTTGGCTTATTGATGAATTTTATCTATTAAAAATTAGGATGAGATGCTGACATCAGAATTAAATGAATTATTTTAGAAAGACACAAAACTGTACAGTTTCCATCTCTCACAGTAGGAGTTAGTTTTAAAATACTCATTTTTCCCAAAGTATGATTTTATATACTTCAGTGTTGTAAATTCATTACTTGAAATTTTAAGGATAACAACACAATTTTGGGTAATTGAAGCTACAGACTCGTAGGAAGGGGGTACTTCAAATCAATTCTATTTTGTAATAAAAATGACTATTCATCAGCACCTCTTACATATATTGCATACATGAAAGTCATAAAAGGATTAAACATGCTCAAGGGTTTTACAATATTAGAGTAATTACAATATTTAGTGTTTCTTTGGAGCTCTGAAAGCAGTTCCTCTTAGGATTAATTTAGGATTTGGCAACATAAAATTCTATGCTCTTAGGATTTGGCAACACAAAATTCTATGCTCTTAGGTATGAGTGAGATAACAGGCAAGCAAAATTTTATAATAAAAAATTCAGGTCTAAAAGAGAGAATTCGAGGGGTTAAAAACATGGCTTTTTATGCTTTAGTATTTCCTCCAGAATTCAAATGAATGTACATATATGTAAAGGATTTTCATAATAAAAAAATTAATAAAGTTATAATTAAGAAGCATATTTTCTGTCATTCAGAAAAAACACTTCTGAAAACTTCAGGCAAGTTATAAAACACATAAAGTTAGGAGTTACTTAAACGCAATGCCCAACAAGGAAATTTAGTAATCAGATTTGAAAATCAGAGCAAAAAAATATTATACAGTTTTGTATCTGACACTGTGTAACAGAAAACACATCTGTTAAATTATTTCAAAAGTTCAGTCTTAGATTTTGCGGATGCATATCTGTCAGCCAAGATCATGGCATTAAAAATATATAACTAAACAAAAAACTAAAAAAATAAAACTCTTCATGATTCAAGAATGATCTAATTTTCTGACATTGTACAATTATTTTTCTAGAAAGTCGAGAGTAATTAATCTTTTAATAAACAGAAGGCAAATAATTCCACTTATACCAAATATCTCATACAAAACTAAAATAAAAAGATTTCAGATTTAACAATCACAGAAAAGGATTTAAGATTTTTTATGATCTCACTGAGCTCGCAGTCTACCTGTCTGCTGCTACACAGTCCTAGTAAACCCTCCTTCTTTTCGTCTTTATAGTTTTATTATTAAGCATCATTTCCTTTGCACTTATGCCATATATAATTCAACAGCAAAATTACAAAAATTTTAAAAGCAGCATAGCAATATACATTTAGAATTCCCCATGCAGCGTGAAGTGTTGGCATATTATTTTCCTTATTTTTATTTTTTTTTTTCAGTCTTTACCAGTTTATCAGATCAATGTTGTTTTCTTCCTAAGATGGCTTCAGAGAACCTTTTTTGTCTTTTTATTACTAATGTTTTACGTATTTATTTATTAAATACCATGTTCTTGGCACTTATGCCACATAAAATTTGATTCAACAAGTAAAATGACAAAAACAGCATATCTTCAGAATTTCCAACAGACAGTTTCACACACTTGAGATAAAAATGTTTTATTTCATAGTGTTGTAACTGCTTCTTTGAAATTGTTTAGTTTGCTAATCAAAATTTCATCAATGAAACAAATAATAAAACAAATTCAAAATTCAGGCTTCCAGGCACCCATTTTGGATGGAGGACTAATATTATTCAAAATTGGATGGCTCTAGGTACCACTGTTTTTTCAGAATGCGAGAAACATACATGCATTCATGCAGTTCCTTCATTACTTAATTTCTTGAAATATAACGCAAGGCGATATACTTGGTGGTAAAAATCTGAAAAGTGATACAACACATTTAAGTGTTTCAATGCAAAATGCCATTTTAAGACTAATATCCCATTCGTGACTAATGTCCGTTTTGGGCTAAAAAAGAAAACTGCTATTCCATTTCTGCATGCTGAATTCAAAAGTGCAGATCTATCAATCAATTCAACAAAGAAAATAATAGATATCAAATAGCACATAAAAGAACAGCCATTATTTTCTGTACAGTTTATTAACCACTTTTTTCATTTTATGTTGAAGAAAAGGATGCAAAGTATAGATTTCCACTAAATTCTTCACCAAAAGTTCTGCTAACATTCTCTTTCTTTCACAATACAAAATTCAAAAACTGACAAAATTTAAAATTTTTTTTTATAAAATAATTGAAAAAATATGTTCATAAATTTTTAAAGGATGCAGATCATGAAACTAAGCGTCCATAAATGTTAAGCTTGTTCTTTTAAAATTATGCTTCTAAAAAACGATTTTGTTTTAGACAAAAATCAAAATTTGTAATAAAATGTGCAGATCTTCTTAATTAAATTTATAACAGCCAAACATAAGTAACTAATAAAGCTGAGTTTGTAATATATCACTTTCAACACATTTTCTGAACTAGGCACAGCAAAAATAATACAACTTACCAGAAGTCAATAAAAGCAGCATGGAAGAAAAAGCAGTTTATTTTAGATTTATTTACAGAAACAAATTGCATTTAAATGTTCCTAATTCTGTTTTAATATTCAAGTTATAAAACACATAATTTTATACAATAAAAAGAAATGAGAAAATTCAGTCATGTAATTACACTTATTAAATTCTATGGTATAAAAAGAATTAGAAAATTTGGTCATGCATAAACATGACATATGAAATTATATCACTCTTATTTCAATCTAATTAGAAGAAAATTTAGGCCTAAGCTACATTAGGTTGGCGTAAATTTTGAATGATACTCTACGCTTTTAAAGGACAGTCATACCACTTCTCTTTTTTCAAAAGCAAAACAGAAATATTATCATAGTAGTTATAATGTTCCCTACTTTCATTAGATAATTCGACTTTTCCACAGCACAGTGAGTGAGTTTGACTAAGCGAGAGTAAGCTGGGTAGAAAAACTCCAATATAAAAGGAAGGCAGTGATTTCTTTGTTTTGTTTCAAAAGCTAGTATATTAGTTCTACTTTTTAATGATCCTACAACTGACCTGCTATAGTATTAGTAAAATAACGTATTGTTAATGATATGGATCATAAATGAAAGAACTTTTGTAAAGTGAACTAGCAATTAATTTGCTAGTCTATATGGTTGATTAAGAAGGCCCCAGTGAAAATGAAAACTGCAAAGTGGTAGCAATGTGCTGATGCTAAAACTAAGACTTGGCTATAAACATATCTAATATCAACAATCGAGGAAAAATATGTCAGTAGGATTTCTATTTATTTGTCAATTTTACCTAATGAGTACTTAATTAACTACACATGTAATCAGTTTTACACTCGTTTAAGAAGTGATAATCCAAAATAAGAAATTGATGATGATTCTTTCAAGATAAACAACAATAAATGGATATAGCATTTAGCATTATCAAAAAAGTAAGGAATTAAAAAATTTCCATTAACTCGTCTCAAAAACTTAGTCACCCTTGAAGTATAGAATACCCCCCCCCCATTTTCTTAATAGAACCCAATCCTAACTTAAGCTTTAATTATAACAGTATTAACTATTAGCAATCCTTTTTCAACTCCAACATCATGATAAGTTTCGTGAAATTAGTTACAAATTTTAAAATTCAAATACATGTTTTAAAATTTTTCTAAATTTTCAATACAATGCTCGTGAAAACCAGTATTTTTGCAAAGAAAATAGTTAACATCTAAATACAGACACAGACTGATAATTTAAAATTATCTGTGCCCCATTTTATCTGAATGTAATGGCATACCAACTACGCATCAGGGTATATGCTGAAAGTTCAACCAAATTTTGACAAAGACATCTCAAAAGAAGAAATTATGAAATTGTGATATTCCTCTCTCTACTACTGATTTTTTTGGAAGACTCTCAAATCGATATATTATAAGTGAATCCACTTCACAGATACCATACACTTCCAAAATTCATGTCTTATTTGAAGTTATAAGCCAATGACAAAAAAAAAAAAAAAAAAAAAAAAAAGCGTCTTTCTTCTCTACATATGGTTCAGGCTGCTTATCAATTACATATGGCAAGGCATGTGAGGGCTATTTTCCTAAGGAAGAGACAGATGCCTTCATGAAGGGCCTTGTAAAAGAAAATGGATTATATTAACAATATGCATAGGAAATTTACAGGGGCTAATAAACTTGCTAGGGTTTGGATCCGACTATCAGTTTGCTAGACATATTTGGTGAGTTATTTTTAATCATTATTTGAGCACCTGCCTTTCTGCTTAACATTAGAATGTATCTTCTTGTGGCTAACCTATTATGAATCATCAGCTTAGTGCTATTAATATTCACTGCTGTAGTCCACCTGATTCTGATAAAACAGGAAACCAGCAATTCTTAGCAAAGGATGTTATGGAAAAGTAACCACTTCAGTTAAGTAAGCAACTGCTAACTTTCTGACAGTACTTCTTAAGAGGATTTATTTTCACACAGCAATCATTAACATAGGCATAGGCACTTCCAAGAGTTTGAAAGGAACAGATTTTGAAATTAACTAATACAAAAAGATTAAAAACAACATGACAGATACAGGTCACAAAGAATTTATTGATCAAATTCTTGAAATGAATAAAGTATATAAAGTAAAGCCATTTTTCCCCCAAAATAGTTAAATATTCCGACTCAAGGCTGCAAAGAAAACATTACAATAAAATATGAAATTTTACAGCATTAATTGAAAATGCTATTTTTTGGATAATCTCATAGTTTTAATGATGCTCTCAGTCTCAATCTTCTATGAGTATAATAACAAATCAGTTAACTGTCGACCTGGTTTACACTCTGACAAAATTTTTAGGCATTAGGTGTCTTGCAAAAATAAGTCTCACTCCAAATTAATATTACCTCAAAAAATTAAGTCAGATTATAGCACTATGACAAAGTATTCAAAGCTATATGATTAAATTATGGATATTCTTATAGAAGATTAAATTACACATTACCATGTGGCTAGTCCCATTCCCACAAAGAATTGAACTCAAGATGAACTACCTGTATTCTGTACCTTTAGCTACTCTACATTGTAAGCTTTACATTTGGTTAAGGAAACAATTTTACACTGTAAGCTCTACATCGCTTTACATTCGATTAAAGAAAAAATGGAGAGACAAAAGCATATCTAAATATAATTTTAAAACTTACAATTATATTATATAAACATAATGATACTTTAACTTATTTTCATTTCCTAACTACCAAAATTATTTTAAATATATTATTAGGCATACTGGAACATGAAACAGTTGAATTAGGTTTAAAAAAAAGTTATGCTCTAATTGACTAATAAAGTAGTCTTAACAATCATGAAAAATTTCATACTTGCAAATCCCTGAAATAAGAATAAATATCTTTATTACTATAACAGTGTTGAAGGCAAATTAATTCTCATACACACTGAGTAAAAATACTTAGAGATAAGACTAGAAAAGAAAAAATCAGTTGCTTTGTTTCGGCTAACCAATGCTTAATCAACCAGACTTTACAAAATTGTTGTTTGAGAACCTGTCTTTTTACATATTAAACAGATCACCTGCACTATGAATGAGATACATCTCAGAAACTGTCCTGCATTAACATCATCTTTTATCAAGGAAAACATACTGGGAGACTATGGTGGTGATGGCAAATAGCTTATGCTAGCATTTATGTGATGTTTGCTTGCACTTCCTACACCTTACATTTTTTTATTTTACCTCCCATTGGAAATATTAAAAAAAAAGTATTGTTATAATTTCCTAACTAATCTTTTAAAGAAAGATATTATAACATGCTCATGCTAACAGTTAAAACTAAAGTTAAATACAGAAGTTTACAAGGAATATGAATTATATGAATTTAAAAAAAAACGGCATATGATAAAATAACCTTTGAGGTGATTAGTAGAACACGTCTAAAGTTTATATAAAATATTTCTTTAAGTATGACAAAAAGAAAAAGGTAATCTAAAAAGCGAATTGCTAAAGATAACTAAAATTTATTCAAGTTATACAAAAAAAAAAAAAAAAAAAAAAAAAAAAAAAAAAAGCTTTCTCATCCTAAATATAATATGCAAAAACAAACAGCATACCATCAGACAGATCTTCAATAGCCATCCGTACGCCTTTGTCAAATGCACGTGCATCTGCAGCAGTCTGGAAGGTTAGGCCAAACTTCTTATCACCCGTACGCCAGTGGTGGAAAGTTGGCATTACTTTGTTATACTGAAAATCTTTTTTAATTGTACAGCTTAGAACTACCTGAAATTACATATAAATCATTATTCATAACTTTAAATAAAACAGAAGAGTAACACAATTTGGAAAACAAATAAAAGTTTTCCATACAATAAATTTCTAATATAAAATAGTAAATTATGGCAGATGGCCAGACGTGAACAAGGACACACAAAGGTACTTTCCAAAGATCATTGCTTATAGTTCCAGGTAATTTTGATCTTCGTAAGGATATATCAGCTTAAAGAACACCCAAACATCATTTACACTTTGTAACTACTTAAACCCCTGGAAAACGTATATTTAAATGGCTTCAACTTCCTAAAATTTTATAATTACTTACTTTTATCTAGCTTTCATAAACTTCCATTCATTAAAATGATATTTACATTATTAAACAAAGTACAAAAGAAAAACATTTGTATTATAATCTAATATATAACAAGTGACAAGAAATTTTATAACCGGATAAAGACAGTCATTCCACTCATGGGCATAATACACTAAATTACAATAGGAAATTCTTTCTTGTTATTACAAACAGAGCTGAATTTTCATTACAATTTAGTTTCTGTTCATGGAAGAAAACAGTAGTCGCATGAAACTAAATTTCACAAGTAAGGGAAATAACCAAACAAATGAGCTAATACAAAAATCATTGTACATCAAATATTTGAATAATATGATCACAGAAGCAGTTATTTCACATTCTGCTGTGTGTTCTTTTTTAGCCATTGAAATGTCTAAAAGATATTCTTGCATGTGACCAGCAGAAATATTTTCTAAAAAGCTCCTTTAACATTAATTTGATGTTCTTAATCACCAGGCAAACTTCTTTAATCATGCAATACTGGGAACTTCTTTGCTATGGGTCATAAATTACAAACTCTAGTTTTATCAACAGTAATGACATTGAAATTTTGAGCTGCTTCAAACATTTTCATAATTTTTGCACTAGATTCACATATAAATGATGCTTTTGATAATTATTTTCGAATCATGGACTGCATTTGAAAAGTTTAGTTTTTTCACACGAAATATGACTGTGGCTGTTGTATTTTTCTGAATTGTGGTTCTTACAAACACATAGTCTGACCAACCGTGGTATATGCTGCTGAGGTGGAAAAATTATCTAAAATAAGTATTACGAGTTATGTGAAGTACATAGCTTTCAAAAAAGCAGAGGATGGATATATGCCCCTCCTCCCCTTGGGGAATTAGTTCTCCGTTACACACAATACTGACTAAAGTAGCGCACTGCTAGTTTGCACCTGGTTACAGATAAAATTCCAAAAATTGAGATTTCATTCTTTTTTTCAATCGATGACTGTATTCAAATTACATATACAATCAAATACAAGATACCGTATTTGAATTTTAAATAAAAGTTTGAATGTGTACTCCCAGTGGAAAAAAGAAAAAGAAATGGTTGCTCACATAGCATAACATCAATTTTGCAAAATTCTTAAATACTGTACAGGAAAAAGAATATACACAATTATCACCACATTCTTAAAATCATTAACATAAATCAATTTCCGAAATATCCACCCCTGAAATAATATGGAATAATGGGAATACAGGCCAAGAATTTTAAAAAAAAAAAAAAAAAGGCGATTATTTTTTTTCTTAATATTTATTTCTTAGCTTTTATACAAGTCATTCAAATGACAGAAAATCCAATGCTGTTCAAGGCTAAATCTACTATTATAGTAGAGCAGCAGTTTTAGTCATTTATACTTTTTTGTGGTAAACACAATTTTGGATTCATTACCATTTTCCAATTAGCAACCAAGCTGCCATGTATTTTTTAATTCATGCAGAAATATTTTATGAATTTCTGCAACATATGCAACTAATTCTAACACATTTACATCAGACATTTTTAAAAACTGGGTTTAACAGTATCAAACATGCTGGCAAGGTTAAAAAAATGTAAAACACATTTTTTTTAATAAGGAAGAATTCCATAATCCATAAATTGTATTAAACCAGAAACTTAGATTTAAAGAATAACTTTTCAATTTTACTAATTTATAATAATTTGTTTGATAATATGCTGACATAATCACAGGAAAATGGCAAAAAATCGCTTATAGCAGAAAAACAAACCAATAAAGAAACTTTTTGGTACTCTTTTGTTATCGGGACCGAATTCAGAAATGTATGTGTACACACATACATATACGAACATGTAGATCCATACAATCACTACATACACTTCTGAATCCAGTCACAATAACAGAAGAGTACCAAATGAATTCTCTTATTCAAATACATTACAGTTGCATAAATTAAATATTCTTGTAGTTTTACAATATATCTTCTTTCTGTATGCATTTCTATATGTGCAATGAGAAAGAAATCAGGTATCCCAAAATCTATATTAGTTTAAAAATAACACAGAATCAAATAAATAATAATTATAGAAACTTTTATTGTTTTCATATTTTTATATATAACTACTAAAAATACATTAAGATTTAACCATTTGACTGTTATGCGGCGCAAAAGTGCTGTGTTCATTTGTCTCGAAAACCATAGCGCTGCGAGTTTTAGTGTGTCTTTGTTGCTCCGTGGGTGTGAACGTAGTCTGACCTCACGCATACTTTGTAACACGAATGCATTTTAAAATAACTAACTGCATCGTGGTTCTCAAGACAAATGAACGCAGTGCAAATATAATTAAATGTTAAAATTAAAGCTTTTAAAAACAATCAGATATAAAAATATTCCAAATGACTTTAAACAAAAGAAAACTGCACGATTTCTTTTCTCTTTATGCTGAGATGCTATGTTAACCCTCTCACTGCGCACTTTTTTTTTTTTTTTTTTTTTTTTTTTTTTTTTTTTTTTTTTTGTCAAAGTAGGTTCAAAAACTGCGTATTTTTTTATTATACATTTCAAATCTACATAAATTTTAGAGTTAAAATATACAAAAGTTATTTGTAAAAGTTTTTTTTTCAATACAGATATAGATCATAGAAAAAGGTTGTCAGAATACTGAAATTGAAGAATAATGATATAAAAGGAAAATTAATATTGGTTAAATTGATTTATTTTATAAAATACAAAGGTAAAACATATATACTAATGAAAATATTTGCATAATGTAATATTTTGCATACAAATTTTGCACCATTGTCTAACGTTTTCAATAGAAACTGAATTTTCAGATTCATCAATATCTGCAGAGGAATCCGAGAAATTCTCATCAGTTTTGCTATAACTATCTTCAATATACTTGTAATCAGAGTCAGAACTACTATCAGTGTCAGAAATATCGTCACGAATATAAGTTATATCACTCGCAAAACGCTTCCTGCCAGACATCTTCGAACTCTGAAAAGCGTGCGCAAAATGCTACATTATGTATTCTTGTATATTTGGCAGAAATGTGGACAACTAACACCATCTGTTAGCCCACATTTAAATAAACAATTAAACATCAAAGAAAAGCCGAAAGAAAACCTTCAACGAGGAAAGAGCAGGTTGCACAGTTAAATAGATGGCCAAAATTCATCCCAGCGGAAATTGTGGGTAGCACAAATTTTGCTACTTCTATGTTGCCCATGGAAATTGCGGAATGTGCAGCGAGAGGGTTAAAACAGTAATTCTGAAAATAGAAATATTCATCTATTGCTGCTTTTATTTTTAATTAAAAGTAGGCTAAATAATGAGGCTATTAAACTGGCTTTAATTATACATATGATATGTTTATTTCCTTATTATTTCAAAAACTTATTTTGTGTCAAGTTAATGAAGTACCTAATGGAAAATACGGTAATATTCTGAAGTTGCAAAGCAAAAAAGTTTCCAAATTTATGGCAGCAGATAAATTTTCTCTTATCCACAATATTAAATTAGAGAGGATTGTTCTGAGGGATTAAGAGATTTTTTGGTATTACTCTTACATACGCCCTCAGGTCACCAAATGTGGCAAAATGTGTTCTGTGCTGGTTTATGGCACTTATGGCAACCCTTTTGACGTTGAAACTTGATTTTCAGGGTTCGTACACATTTCTGCACATGGAAATTAAGTACTTTTAAGGACCATTCATGAAAAAATTAAGGACCTATAAGCAAATGGGAACTGAATAAATTCAATTAGAAATATTATCTATGCTGAACTTCACTTTTGTAATACTATACTAAAAATAAAATAGATCCATAAGTAGGATGCATTAGTATTAAATATAATTATTAGTAAGTATTGAGAATAAAATAAAGTTTATGAAATTTATCATTAAATATTTTACACTCATACTAACTTACTAACTGGACATATCTGAAAGAAGATAAGTGACATTTTATTTAAGTTTTACTAACAATTAGCTTTGATTTTTTTTTTTTTAGTCTCATTTTGTCACATACTTGCTCACTCTATGAGTTTAGTAAATAGTAAGTAGATTTTATGTCAAGTGGCAGAGTTATGTCAAGTGGCAGAGGTTAAAGTGAGAAGTAAAATCACAAATCAGCATGATTCAAAACAAAAGACTGGCTGTTGTTGCCGCTCCTGCTTGTGCCTGGAGAGAGGAGCTGCTGATCAAAACAAGACCTGATGATCAGAACAAGCCTTAAGGCCTGATGTAAACACGGTTCGCAAGTTTTGAAAGTTAGCTGAGGTCTGTCTGACGCAGTTAGTGTTTCGTAGCTTCTTGTAGAGTTCCAGGGATTGTAACTCAGTTAATATAGATTAAGGTCCTAATAATCCACTAAAGCACCAGAGGTGACAAGTTGTTTTGCATTATTTTAAGTCTCACTAGATGCGAAGAATAGGTTTTACATGAATTTTTACAATTTTGTGTTTTATCTTGTGACCACGATAAGGGTTAATGAAAGGCAATAACTTGCTTTAAAATGCAGAGATAATTTTTGAAGGTAACCAGTTAGTTATAAGTAATTAAATTGGGTATTAGATAACCTTAGTCATTATGGATTTACATGGCCACTATTAAATTTTATTTATTTTTTTACAATATTTTGTTAAGAAAAGCCCTTATTAAATTACAATCTAATAAAAT